GGGCTGTGTCATAGGGCTGTGTCATAGGGCTGTGTCAGAGGGCTGTGTCATAGGGCTGTGTCATAGGGCTGTGTCAGAGGGCTGTGTCATAGTGTCAGAGGGCTGTGTCAGAGGGCTGTGTCATAGGGCTGTGTCAGAGGGCTGTGTCAGAGGGCTGTGTCAGAGGGCTGTGTCAGAGGGCTGTGTCAGAGGGCTGTGTCAGAGGGCTGTGTCAGAGGGCTGTGTCAGAAGGCTGTGTCAGAGGGCTGTGTCAGAAGGCTGTGTCATAGGGCTGTGTCAGAGGGCTGTGTCAGAAGGCTGTGTCAGAGGGCTGTGTCAGAGGGCTGTGTCCCTCCTACAATAAGAATCAATCCTTCCTTGACCGGCAAATTAATTGTGACAGACTTTCAATGTCTTTCAACTACTAAAACCCCCATAAAATTGTTTTAATATTTATTTATTTATGTATTGATACTTTACTACATGTATATGTTTAAAACCCAATCAGGATCCTTTTTCTATTTCTGTTGTATATATATATATATAGGGGACAGTGGGGAGGGGAGGGGACAGTGGGGATGTATAGGAGACGGGGATATATAGGGGACAGTGGGGATATATAGGGGACAGTGGGGAGGGCTGGGGACAGTGGGGATATATAGGAGACGGGAATATATAGGGGAGAGTGGGGATATATAGGGGACAGTGGGGATATATAGGGGACAGTGGGGATATATAGGGGACAGGGGATATATAGGGGACGGGGGATATATAGGGGACGGGATATATAGGGGACAGTGGGGATGTATAGGGGACAGTGGGGATATATAGGGGACAGTGGGGATATATAGGGGACAGTGGGGATATATAGGGGACAGTGGGGATATATAGGGGACAGTGGGGATAAATAGGGGACAGGGGATATATAGGGGACGGGGGGATATATAGGGGACGGGATATATAGGGGACAGTGGGGATGTATAGGGGACAGTGGGGAGGGATGGAGATATATAGGGGACAGTGGGGAGAGATGGGCACAGTGGGGATATATAGGGGAGAGTGGGGATATATAGGGGACAGTGGGGATATATAGGGTACAGTGGGGGGTGTATAGGAGACGGGGATATATAGGGGACAGTGGGGATGTATAGGGGACAGTGGGGATATATAGGGGACAGTGGGGATGTATAGGGGACAGTGGGGATGTATAGGGGACAGTGGGGATATATAGGGGACAGGGGATATATAGGGGGACGGGGGATATATAGGGGACGGGGATATATAGGGGACGGGGATATATAGGGGACAGTGGGGATGTATAGGGGATGGGGGATGTATAGGGGACAGTGGGGATGTATAGGGGACAGTGGGGAAGGATGGGGACAGTGGGGAGGGATGGAGATATATAGGGGACAGTGGGGAGAGATGGGGACAGTGGGGAGGGCTGGGGACAGTGGGGAGGGCTGGGGATATTTAGGGGACAGTGGGGATATATAGGGGACAGTGGGGATGTATAGGGGACAGTGGGGAGGGATGGGGACAATGGGGAGGGCTGGGGACAGTGGGGATGTATAGGGGACAGTGGGGATGTATAGGGGACAGTGGGGAGGGACGGGGATATTTAGGGGACAGTGGGGATTATAGGGGACAGTGGGGAGGGATGGGGATATTTAGGGGACAGTGGGGATATATAGGGGACAGTGGGGATGTATAGGGGACAGTGGGGAGGGATGGGGACAGTGGGGAGGGATGGGGATATTTAGGGGACAGTGGGGAGAGATGGGGACAGTGGGGAGGGCTGGGGACAGTGGGGAGGGACGGGGATATATAGGGGACCAGTGGGGATATATAGGGGACAGTGGGGAGGGCTGGGGACAGTGGGGAGGGCTGGGAACAGTGCGGAGGGACTGGGATATATAGGGGACAGTGGGGATATATAGGGGACAGTGGGGAGGGCTGGGGACAGTGGGGAGGGATGGGGATATATAGGGTCAGTGGGGAGGGCTGGGGACAGTGGGGAGGGATGGGGACAGTGGGGATGTATAGGGGACAGTGGGGATATATAGGGGACAGTGGGGATGTATAGGGGACAGTGGGGAGGGATGGGGACAGTGGGGAGGGATGGGGATATTTAGGGGACAGTGGGGAGAGATGGGGACAGTGGGGGAGGGCTGGGGACAGTGGGGAGGGACGGGGATATATAGGGGACAGTGGGGATATATAGGGGACAGTGGGGAGGGCTGGGGACAGTGGGGAGGGACAGGGGATATATAGGGGGACAGTGGGGAGGGATGGGGACAGTGGGGGAGGGAGGGGATATATAGGGGACAGTGGGGAGGCCTGGGGACAGTGGGGAGGGCTGGGGACATTGGGGATGTATAGGGGACAGTGGGGATATATAGGGGACAGTGGGGATATATAGGGGGACAGTGGGGATATATAGGGGACAGTGGGGATATATAGGGGACAGTGGGGGATATATAGGGGTCAGTGGGGATATATAGGGGTCAGTGGGGATATATAGGGGACAGTGGGGAGGGATGGGGACAGTGGGGAGGGATGGGGATATATAGGGGACAGTGGGGAGGGCTGGGGACAGTGGGGAGGGCTGGGGACAGTGGGGATGTATAGGGGACAGTGGGGATATATAGGGGACAGTGGGGATATATAGGGGACAGTGGGGATATATAGGGGACAGTGGGGATATATAGGGGACAGTGGGGATATATAGGAGACAGTGGGGAGGGCTTGGGACAGTGGGGAGGGCTGGGGATATATAGGGGACAGTGGGGAGAGATGGGGACAGTGGGGAGGGCTGGGGATATATAGGGGACAGTGGGGATGTATAGGGGACAGTGGGGAGAGATGGGGACAGTGGGGAGGGCTGGGGATATATAGCGTTTTACCACAAAACATGATTATTTGGCTCTCTAAAATAAAATTATCTTGCAATATATTTCAAATAAATCATGTCAGTCTTTTCATTAGCCCATGTCATGGTAAGATTCATCATGTCTCTTTTCACTGGCCCATGTCATGGTAAGATTCATCATGTCTCTTTTCACTGGCCCATGTCATGGTAAGATTCATCATGTCTCTTTTCACTGGCCCATGTCATGGTAAGATTCATCATGAAAGTCTTTTCACTGGCCCATGTCATGGTAAGATTCATCATGTCTCTTTTCACTGGCCCATGTCATGGTAAGATTCATCATGTCTCTTTTCACTGGCCCATGTCATGGTAAGATTCATCATGAAAGTCTTTTCACTGGCCCATGTCATGGTAAGATTCATCATGAAAGTCTTTTCACTGGCCCATGTCATGGTAAGATTCATCATGTCTCTTTTCACTGGCCCATGTCATGGTAAGATTCATCATGAAAGTCTTTTCACTGGCCCATGTCATGGTAAGATTCATCATGTCTCTTTTCACTGGCCCATGTCATGGTAAGATTCATCATGTCTCTTTTCACTGGCCCATGTCATGGTAAGATTCATCATGAAAGTCTTTTCACTGGCCCATGTCATGGTAAGATTCATCATGAAAGTCTTTTCACTGGCCCATGTCATGGTAAGATTCATCATGTCAGTCTTTTCACTGGCCCATGTCATGGTAAGATTCATCATGTCAGTCTTTTCACTGGCCCATGTCATGGTAAGATTCATCATGTCTCTTTTCACTGGCCCATGTCATGGTAAGATTCATCATGTCTCTTTTCCCTAGCCCATGTCATGGTAAGATTCATCATGTCTCTTTTCACTGGCCCATGTCATGGTAAGATGAATCATGTCAGTCTTTTCACTGGCCCATGTCATGGTAAGATTCATCATGTCAGTCTTTTCACTGGCCCATGTCATGGTAAGATTCATCATGTCAGTCTTTTCACTGGCCCATGTCATGGTAAGATGAATCATGTCAGTCTTTTCACTGGCCCATGTCATGGTAAGATTCATCATGTCAGTCTTTTCACTGGCCCATGTCATGGTAAGATTCATCATATCTCTTTTCACTGGCCCATGTCATGGTAAGATTCATCATGTCTCTTTTCACTGGCCCATGTCATGGTAAGATGAATCATGTCAGTCTTTTCACTGGCCCATGTCATGGTAAGATTCATCATGTCAGTCTTTTCACTGGCCCATGTCATGGTAAGATTCATCATGTCTCTTTTCACTGGCCCATGTCATGGTAAGATTCATCATGTCAGTCTTTTCACTGGCCCATGTCATGGTAAGATTCATCATGTCTCTTTTCACTGGCCCATGTCATGGTAAGATTCATCATGTCTCTTTTTCACTGGCCCATGTCATGGTAAGATTCATCATGTCAGTCTTTTCACTGGCCCATGTCATGGTAAGATTCATCATGTCAGTCTTTTCACTGGCCCATGTCATGGTAAGATTCATCATGTCTCTTTTCACTGGCCCATGTCATGGTAAGATTCATCATGTCTCTTTTCACTGGCCCATGTCATGGTAAGATTCATCATGTCTCTTTTCACTGGCCCATGTCATGGTAAGATTCATCATGTCAGTCTTTTCACTGGCCCATGTCATGGTAAGATTCATCATGTCAGTCTTTTCACTGGCCCATGTCATGGTAAGATTCATCATGTCTCTTTTCACTAGCCCATGTCATGGTAAGATTCATTATGTCTCTTTTCACTGGCCCATGTCATGGTAAGATTCATCATGTCTCTTTTCACTGGCCCATGTCATGGTAAGATTCATCATGTCAGTCGCTGTTCCCTTTCTCCTGTGTTCTGAGAGAGCGAGACTATCCTTTGGGTAATATTTGCCACAAGCCAACATTGTCTCCACAATTTTCTCCATTGGTCAATTTCAAGAAATATTTCCAACGAACGACCTTTTTTTCCGTAACCCCAAATGTTGCATAACGCTGTGAGAAAATGTCCCCTGTTATCTGCAGAGGGACAGGTGAGACACACACAGGGAGGAGGAGTATGCAGATTCAGACCCGTGGTTCCTGTATAAAATACCCTCAGTGCGCCTTTACTCCGTCACGCTGAAGACATGAACTGTCTACTGATCCTCTCCTGCCTTGCCTTCGCCGGCGCAGCCTACGGTGAGAAAATGTCCACGTGTCTGCCAATGTCTGCCTTTACATGAGTTGTAGGATAACCTCAGGGTGCTTTTTTAGTCGTTCAGTTTTTATTCTTTAGTTTTTTTAATCCTTTTATGTTTGCTGTGTGGTAAATATATATTTTTATTGTTTTTATTCATTTTTTCCCCCCTGTGAAGCACATTGTGTTGCATTCCATGTCTAAAAATCTACTGTAGAAATAAAGCTTGATTTGATTTATTTATCGGGTAAAATAAATATTTGACTTGAGTGACTGCTCTACTCAATATCATTTCAAGTGGTACTACACTAGGGCAACATTGTGTTTATATTCTGTATAGAGGAAACTGCCGACTGTTAGAATCTCTGTTAGAGCAGCCAAACCAGACCCCCTAATCTCTGTTAGAGCAGCCAAACCAGACCCCCTAATCTCTGTCTCTGTCATCAGGCTGTGGCTCCCCCGCCATCCAGCCTGTGGTGTCTGGTTACGCCCGCATCGTCAACGGTGAGGAGGCTGTGCCCGGCTCCTGGCCCTGGCAGGTGTCCCTCCAGGACTACACTGGATTCCACTTCTGCGGCGGCTCTCTGATCAACGAGAACTGGGTTGTGACAGCCGCCCACTGCAGCGTGAAGTGGGTGCTGGCTGCCGAGCCATAACCTTCATAAGTGTAGCAACATGCTAACTGGCTAAAAGCTAGCTAATGCTAACTAGCTAAAAATAATACTAGCTAAAAGCTGGATAATGCTAGTGCTAATGCTACTTAGCTGAAAGGTGGCTAGCATATGGTTAACGTAGCTAAATTATGTTTATTTTGTGAAACTATTTCAGGACCTCTCACCGTGTGATCCTGGGAGAGCACGATCGCTCGTCCAACGCTGAGGACATCCAGACCATCAAGGTTGGCCAGGTAAACTTCCACAAACAACTATTACTACAACTTTTAACATCTATACTTTTATTTTTTTGAAGTAAAGATAAAAGATCAGTGAAAGTTCCACCTGGAAGTCACATCGGCTCAAATGATCAGTTCATGATCTGTTTTCGGTGAATTAAAACATTGAATCTTAAAATCTCTAATGTTTGTCGCCTTGTGCCCCCTTACTAGGTGTTCAAGCACCCCAAGTACAACGGCTTCACTATCAACAACGACATCACCCTGATCAAGCTGGCCACCCCCGCCGTCCTGGGAACCCGTGTTTCCCCCGTGTGCGTCGCTGAGACCAACGATGACTTCGCCGGTGGCATGACGTGTGTGACCTCCGGTTGGGGTCTGACCCGCTACAACGGTAACCAATCGCTACAGCTTTTCCCATCAAGATCTTTCCAATCACCAGAGGTCTCATTGTAAAGTCAGACATACCTTGGGTCGTTTTTCTTGACTAGCAGAACTGTTCGGTCTAGTTGAAAGATTCTGTTTCAATTGGCTCAGTCAATTTGAAATATTCAATTTCAGTTGGCTCAATCTATTTGAAAAATGATGTTTTCAGTTGGGTTTCAGTCTTGCATTGCTTAGTAGTCTTTTAACTATGTGAGAAAGATGGTGATTGGCTGACCGGTTCTGTAGTGTTACCTGACCCTTTGGTGTCCTCTGGTTCCAGCTCCCGACACCCCCGCCCTGCTGCAGCAGGCTGCTCTTCCCCTGCTGACCAAGGCTCAGTGCCAGAAGTTCTGGGGCTCCAAGATCACCGACCTCATGATCTGCGCTGGAGCCGATGGCGCCTCTTCCTGCATGGTGAGTAACACAAACCATAGGGTTGCAAAATTCAGGCAAACTTCCAAAACATTCCTAGGGTTTCCAGAATTCCTAGCTGGAAGATTCCCGGATTTTTTGCAAGCCTACACAAACCATATGGCACACTGACGCATTGTTACAGGCCATGACACTGAACCTACCACCGTCGGACTAATGGTGGTCACACTGACGCACTGTTACAGGCCATGACACTGAACCTACCACCGTCGGACTAATGGTGGTCACACTGACGCACTGTTACAGGCCATGACACTGAACCTACCACCGTCTGACTAATGGTGGTCACACTGACGCACTGTTACAGGCCATGACACTGAACCTACCACCGTCTGACTAATGGTGGTCACACTGACGCACTGTTACAGGCCATGACACTGAACCTACCACCGTCTGACTAATGGCAGAGTTCAATCTGGACTTTTACAGTTATTTGCACTGCCTTAAAACGTCATTGCATCGATAATAGCTTGGCGTTTCCTTAGTTCTTCACTTTTTGGAAACAGCTGAGCACAAACTCTGAACATAGAAAGTGATCACCAGAGAGAGACTGCAATTTGACAGACTCTAACTCTTTCTATACTCCTTTCTGTGTTTCAGGGTGACTCTGGTGGCCCCCTGGTCTGTGAGAAGGCTGGTGCCTGGACCCTGGTCGGTATTGTGTCCTGGGGCAGTGGAACCTGCACCCCCACCATGCCCGGAGTGTACGCCCGCGTCACTGAGCTCCGCTCCTACATCGACCAGACCATCGCCTCCAACTAAGTCTTCAGTTTCATCTTCATAATAAATAAAAGTAGTTTCTAGTAACGTATTTGTTCCTTGGTGTTTCTTGAAACGTGGGTTTTGATAGTTAAAGCAGCAATCAGCAGTTGAAAGAATAACAAAGCAAATCAAATCAAATCAAATCAAATCAAATGTTATTGGTCACATGCGCCGAATACAACAGGTGCAGACATTACAGTGAAATGCTTACTTACAGCCCTTAACCAACAGTGCATTTATTTTAAACAAACAAAAAAAAAAAAGTAAGAATAAAACAACAACAAAAAAAGTGTTGAGAAAAAAAGAGCAGAAGTAAAATAAAGTGACAGTAGGGAGGCTATTATCGTATCTGAAGATTATGCCTTTGTTAAATGTTTTGGAGGAACAAAGAATGTTGTTTTATGATCTTAGTTCAAATGTAGCGTTGGGAGGGTGATGCCCCAGGGGAGACTGGTGATTGGCCAGAAGAGGGGAGTCACTCCTCTTTTTGCATTGTTTATAAATAGGGGGTAAACGATGAGACGGCAGAACGGCCATATCAATCTGGGGAGCCGTTCTCCGGACATCGCGAGTCTGTATCTATGCTGTAAACTCGTGATTTTAATAAAAGCCTCTAACACGATGCAGCATAGCGGACTTTTTGTTGACAGCAATAATTGCCACCATTCATCATATACGACATAATGGCGCCCAACGTGGGGCTGGGTTTGCGTCTCCTCTGTGTTTCAGTCAACCGCCAGGCTAACTCTCTCTCTGAAGCATGGAAAAGGGTGAGTGTTCTTACCGCTTCAGAGGTTGTTAGATTGGATATGACTTGTGTACACTGAGGGGATGTTCCATTATGACCTGGCCTCGGTGGCGTTGTTGCTGGTCGACTGGAGTCTGCTAAAATTTACTCCATCAAAAACGGCAGTTAATTGGAATGTAGAGCATTAAACGGTAGGATTTAAGTATTGAAAGTGTATGGTCCATTGGTAATGGGGGACAATGGTTGGTAAATTCAGATATGCGCATTCTTTAGGGCACTGGACCGCTTGAAGACCCCGAGGGGGCCATTTTAGATAATGGGCTGGCAAACCCGTGTGTACGTTAGAAGGTATATTCGTTGAGTTTTTGAAGAGAACTCGGGTTGGTGGAATTTATCTGATTGTGATCCGGATTTGACTCTCATTCGACGGGGTGTTTGATTAGGTCTGATTTCTCGGTGTAATTGTCATTAATTCTCGGCAACAAAAACGGTAGGAGAAATAGGTTTAAAATAATTAGGCCAGTGCAGGGTGGGGGATTGTGTAGTAAGCCGCAGTTAGCTAGAGGCTAATGCTAATGTCAATGCTAAATGGGAGTGTGTTTCATGCTACATGGTACATCGTGGCTAGAGGCTAAAGGCTAATTGTGTTGCGTGCTGCATGCTAACGTATCCTTAGAGATTCCATTGCGATGGATTAAAGTCTCTTAAACTTGTCACTGTCTGTAAGTCAGGTTGTATGTTTTGTGAGCGCTGTTAAATGTTGGTTGACTAGGAGGGGAACGAAAGGTACAGCTGGACTGTTATCCATTTAGTGGAGGTGAAAACGGGTTTTTGAATGGATGTGCGCATGCGTTTAATTTTGCGACACTACACTACAGAAAGGGGAGTTTATGGCACGAGATTAGGGAACGTTTTGTTTTACGGCACTAAACGACACCACGAGGGGATGCTAAAACTCAAGCATGAGGTTTAAAATGATATTTGCGCATGCGTGGGATTCTGCAAAACAACACATTGGTTAAACTGCAGGGGGAGACAGAGGAACACAGACGACGGAACAAATACGCATAAAGAGATT